GCATTCCAGATATAAGCATAATCATCTATTCAGTCGAATATTTCATTATATATAAGTGTTCCGTGCTCTGAATTAATACCATCCTGCTAATGCCTATAGCGGATTGTTATACGTCCCCTTGCATTTCTCCACCTTGATTATTGATTGAGGTCCATAGTGACGGAGGCTGGTATAGCAGCATTATGATAAGAGCCTGAAGGCTGGTGGTCCACTCAGGGCAATCCGGACATATACATGATGGATTGCACTGATACCAATTCTAGTTTCAATAATCTGCTCTCTTATCTGCCCTGCATTCCCGAGACATCATGCTGGATCAGCTGCACGCCCAGGACCTCCTCGATGCTGAGCCCATGGCTTACCGAATAAAGTCTTTTGGCTCACTGGAAATGGTAGAGCAAAGAAACGTCACTATGTCATCATCTTCGTGTTTCAGTTAAAATGAGATGCCAGGGAGCGTGCTCAGTATCTAGAAAGACAAAATTACCCTTATGAGTCTGTATTCAAATTAGGCTTGGCTGGTGTCTAATTGCTTGTACCGTCACACTGTCCAGATATTATTATATGGTATTTTGACGGTATTTTCAAAAACAACGCTTATTCTAGGGTTTTGAAGTCTTGGTGATAAAATTCGGCATGAAGGGGAGTGTGGGGTCTCTGCAATAAAATACACCCAACAGGGAAGACCCCTACAAAAAATATGTGTTCAATAAATTTTTGGGGGCCGTGTTAGTCCCCTTGGTAAAACCCCAATAATACATTTTGTGAATGGCAAATTTTACTGCCAAGATTTCAAAACACTGTATATCGTTACCGTAATGCCACCCAGCTTTGGTGGGGCCACTTGCGGCGTATGGTCATCCAATAACGTTAGCCTTAAATGAAAACTGGAAAGCCTGCTTGTTCGGAGTTAATAATCCACAGCCGAGGAGTGGAAGATTAGGGGACTGCCAACAGGGCGAGACTCCTCCAAATTACGGATTACAACCAGTTAAGCTCCAGAAGACACAGCTGAGACGTGGAAGGCAACAAAAGCTTAGGATGTGGACAAATTGTCTGATTCCCTGGAGACAATGGGTATCTCTGCTCCAACATTCTGCTCAACCATTGGTCACGGGATGACAGATTCATTTTAAGCAGCTGCTTCTCCAGTTAGGGTTAGAGTGATCTTGTGCAGGTAAGTAGTTCAAAGATGTAAGGATAGATGGTGGCAGTGATCCAGGGCCTATCAGATATATTGGCAGGCAGACAGAAATACAGGACGTCTTTCCATCGTCATTAACATAGAAGAACGACCAGAAAATACAGGGAGTAAAATCTCATCCTGAAACCTCATTCAAGGGAAACTGAAGACTGCAAACCAGAAAATGTGAGTGACCACACTATGTACAGAGCCACTGTGCACCTGCAAACTCAATACAATGATAATAATTGATTGTTCATTTATCCCCATGGGGAAATTCTCTTTATGCCTCCCCCAGCCTGCTTTCTGTAGGTGTGATGGGCAGCCACCCACAGCAATGCCCAGGGAGCTGGGTGTTAAGAGCCTTGCTTAAGGACTGGCAGATATGATAAGGCTGGGCTTGAACCAGAGACCTTCCGATCACAAGCACAGAGGCTTAGCTCACTGAGCCACACACTGCCCCCCATATATCAGCATAATCTAAATAAACAAACATCTTAACTGTAGACCAAAGGAAAGGCTGGCATCTGTACCCATAATGCACTAGACCTGCATTTCTTTAGTGATATCCTGCTGGACAAATGGCAGTGTGAACATATTTAATGTTGAGATTTAATAATGCATTGTGATTCTCCCACACTTCCAACAATGAACATAGCTGCCCTGAACTCAAAGGTACTTAACTAAAAACTTGGTCATTTCAGACTTAGGGCATATGATGAAATATATACTGAATATTCTAGAAGGCTTTTCTCAATGAGCATTACACATTCTTTTCCAACTACTTTCAGCACTTTATACCCAATCGGATACACTTGTCCAGTCCTGCATTGCAGTTTGAATGTGATTTGATCACAGCTTTAATCCAAACAGCCCTGTAACAAAGAAAGCTCATGCTGTTTCTTCTTTAAGACACTGATTAAAGGGGAAAAAAAACACTGGTTCCGCTTTCTGAGAGCTTTCTGGTTGAAGGCATTTTAATAAAGTCAGATAACAGGCTTGAAGTCTTCGGACTTATTTTTATTCCATCACCTTGAAAATGCGCAAAATATGTTTTTCAGGTGAAGAATCACCTCACCGTATCATCTTCCTGTGACGGTGCGTTTCTCAGATGCCTTTTCGGTAGAAGATTATAAAAACACACACATCTGTATCTAGTGCAATTGAGAGTGGTGAGTAGGGATGGGTATCGGGTACCAGTACTGAACTGGCACCGGTTCCGGACTCGGCGATACCGATAGTATTGATAAACTCATGGACCTAATATATGTTTAAAAATCAGTCTAAAGTTTACCTCCACTGCGTTTGCATAAGTGTTGAATGCGTCCTGCAAGACATAGTCATTTTCATCCTTGCTGTTTAAATTACTCAGACAGACTTGTCAGAAATTATTTATGTTGAACTCCTTTTTGCTTTATAAATACCCCTACAACAAAATAATACTGTGCCACCCTAGTATATTATACAAAAAACTTAATTTCTTGTCCCTGCAATCCTGATCTTGTTGTATCTGTTATTCCAACTAGATCGCAATTAAAGCTTGGGTTGTTGTCCAGGCATCCATTATTATGGCTTTTATTGTTTGTTTTTTTTTTTTACTTCGTTTATCCTTATTCTCCGAGTTCGCAACTTTTTTCAAGACGGCCGTTGTATCGTATTTCAGAGGCAGGCTATTTGTATAGCCTCCCTCTGAAAACGCATGAAAGCGTTTCAAGTCCCACCCAAAGTACGAAGCAGCCTAGTTTGGCACTTTCGGTACTGGTACGCGACCGATCAGTGGAAGTCAATGGAAAAGTGAAAGTACTGAAAGTATCGTATCATAAATACCGTAACCTGTTGCAGTGGAAAAGCAGCGCTTTTAAATTCTATACGTCCCCTAATGATGACGACACTGCAGGTGTCCCGCCATCACATTTTAGTCGTGTAGGAGCGTGTTGATATGTTGTCCTCTCCAGTCATCATGAGAGATAATTAGGTACTTTTGTAAAGCGTTCAAAAGTGGGGGCTCACTTTAGTAAATTTAATGCTTATGGAAATAAATTAATGACAAAAGTCATTGATCCAAAAAAGCACGTTGAATTACACTAATCAAATAAAAACGCACTGTATTTAATAATGCTTGAATAAAAACACATTGCATTTAATAATGCTTGAATATTTAGGGGATGTAATTTAATTTGAATGTACTTTTAAACATTGAACATTTCAACTGAAAATATTTCAGTTGTAATTTCATTGGTAAAATAATTAATACAAAAAGTGTTTGGCTTCCACAATTCTGTTCCAAAATATACGGTTTAAAGTTCATTTTTCTAATTCAGTCACCTGAATTCAGCTCATTTACTGTTACCTCAAAATAAATTTCAAGACACCAAATTCAGTTGGAAACATTTGATGTAATTTAATGCCATCTTCATAATTCAGGAGGTACTATTCAGTCCTTTTGTTTTCGCTTTACAAATGTGCTGCCAAAATTTCAGTGGTATAAAATATGGTCCAAATTCAACCGTCTATATCCTGGACTAGCAGGATAGTGAAGCAGCACTACAGGAATACAGGAAACTTATTTTTCAAAAATGTTATATTACAGTAACTGTTAAATCTCTTCACATCCTGTCATGCCTATTTTACGCACCATATAATGGAGAGTAGTACTGATAAGAGTATCGATAAGTATTGGCATTGATAAGCAGTAATCGGTATCGGTATCGATATCGATAAAATCCTAACGATACCCATCCCTAGTAATGAGTCAGCCATTAACATATTAATGCCAGAGCCAATCAGAGTCTCACTGCTACATACAAAAAAGGAACAAATACTGGATCATGTAATGGCTGCAGACTGCCAGGCTTGAGGGTTTGACTCCCCCCCCCCCATCAGATTTTCTGTGTTCTCCCCATCTTCGTGCAGGTTTCTTCCTGCAGTCCCAAAACATGCAGTCAAGTGGACTGATGTCTAAAAATTGCCCAAATTTGGGCACAAATACACTAGCGACTAAGAAATCTGGATGTAATGATTAGTTTTAATAACTCCTCAAACCAATCAGTTCGTCGGTTGTAGGACAGCCAGAAAAGCCGCAGTCCCTGCATCAACTGCAGAAACTCACATCCTCTCTAAAGTTCTGACAAAGGAGTCAAATAAATCAGAAGACATTCGGTTAGAATGGCATGTAGCAAACTGAACAGCAATCACGAAAGGGCCGTCTCATTCTCTGAGAAGAGAAAAACGCCTTCTGACCTGGAAATGTGGAATTCGCGATCCTTTGTGCAAGACACTCTGCACTCCATAGGCATCGGATACGAAAGTAAGTGCGTGACAGGGATACAGCGATGGCAGCCAAGTGGGCTCTGTAGGGGTGCATGCAGCACAGGCTCATAGAGTCTCCAAACCTGCTGAACAAGGGTCCAGCTTCAAGCACGCGTGCTTTACGAGGGCACTAACACAGGCTGGCCGCATTTCTGTGGAGCGAGTGGCTCGGCGGGGCGATGGTGAGCAAAGCCTGCCACAGAGTCCTCCCGATGACCCCCATTTCTGATCGATCGCACATGACAACCCCCCCCCCACCTCCCTCACCACCTACTATCAGGCCCCTGTGAGGATTTGGCGGGGGGGTGTTTTTTTCACTTCCTTCTGAAATGACACCAACGGGGTTTACGGCACTACAAACCATTTAGCTGGGCCTCTTCCCCTACACAAATGTTAGAGAGGTAATTTACTGCTTGGTGAAACACAGTCAGATTCCATCTGCACATGCAGCCCGATCCAACCCCGCATCCCTGGACCAGCGCCAAGGCCTCCGTAATGGATGCAGATAGCCACCAGACAACAAGAGCAGCGATTTACGGCCCACGACACCTGTACTGCAGCCTCTTGATTTACCTATTTATTTTTTTATTCATGCCTGCCCCCTCAAGCCCCACCTCCAAAAAAAAAGGGAACACAAACAAGCTTCCCTGCCCCATGACAAAAAGCACCGCTGGCTTTCTGAACAGCTCACCAGAGACCGATTCTTCGGAACATTTTCCCCCTGCTGTACATTACTTATGTTAAGCGGGGCATCTCTGACTGATCGCCAGCATCATAGGGGAAAGGCTGAGTCCTCTGTTATTCCTGTCAGCGGCCAGCTGAATCCACTTCACGACACGACTTCAGCCACCGGGCTGCCATTTCCAAAACGAGAACCCCAGCAACTAAAGATAATATATCAGGTGATTAAAAAAAAAATTACCATAAAGTCTCGAACCTGTGCAGATGGACTTAAAAACACCACTGAGACATTTGAAGAGAAAACAACGACGAATTAACTGTTTTCTTAAGACGATAGCTGTTAAATGAACTATGCCAGATACATCGGTGTACCGTTTACACCTGCCGGACTGCCACTTTAAGCACGGACAGCACTTCCACGCATTAATGTTCCAGTGTCGTGTAGCTTGCTTGTTCATAGTTTGTCTAATGTACAATGTTTGTTATGTTAGCTAGTGTTTATAGACAGTGGATTTCCCTCTGTCTCTGCTACCCTTAAACGACTGATTATTGCACAGGATTAATTTTTTGTAAATTACGCCAAACTCTGTCTTCACCACGCGAATGTCTGTCCTGTCATGAATGCTGCACCGTAGATTCAGGAGCAACATTATACCGTTTCATGTACTTTACATGGCAGGGTTGACAATAAAGCTTTACTTGACTACTTGACTTGAATATGCAGTAGCAAAGGAAAATATAATATAATAAAGCAATAATTAAAATACTCTTGACAGTATTAATAAATTACATTTAATCTTTTTTTATCTGTTTTAACCAGGAGATTTGTCATCCATTGTGCAACAGATACATGCCTAAACGAGGTTAAACAGTGTATTTTACAGTTTACTGGGTAAGCATAAACTCAGCACTCTTTGGTCTTGAGCCAGTGAATATGCATATGTGCGCGCAATTGTGTGTGTGTGGGTTGCTAAATGCATCTACTGGTAGGTATGCTGTATGTTGATATTTCAAGAAAAAAAAGCCTTTATTGACAGTGACCACATCCAAGATGACATGCTGCGTTTGACTCTTCTGCCACCAGGGGGCCAGGAGGTATTACTGCAGCAGTGGTGGAGGACACCTCTCTGTTTCCACCACATAGAGAGAAAAACACTGGCTTGGCAGACACGTAAAGAGAGTAATCCTGTCATCTGGCCACAGCAAACCTGAAATGACAGATGAGATTTTTGGAGGCTTATCCTTTTTCCCCTCCCTTATTTACGCCTTTCTCTAAAAATCTTTTAACCTTGTGAGGTTGGGGAGGTCGGGCAGCCCAAACAGAGAACGCCAAGACCCTCAGTCGCTTCTTCGTCTGTACCTGTCTTTTTTTCACCACACAGACGAACGTGTGGTGTTTTAAAGGAAATCGACAGCGACGTGGCACACCGGCTCAGTATGGGAATTAATGACATTCAGCTCCATAACCACTGGGCAGCACCAGAGCCTCACATCTCCAGGGCTGTGGGTTCAATTCCTACCCCATGTTCTCCCCTTTTGTATGCAGGTCTCCTCTCACACTCTAATAATAAGCGTTTCAGTCAGTTGGTGTCTCTAAATAGTCCTTGTATATGAGTGCCCTGCAATGGACTGACATCCTGTCCAGGGAATACCTGTTACCAGATGAGCAATTAAGGAAGATAGATTGTCTTGACCATGTAAGTAAAACACGTTAAATGGTTGAATTCTAATGGGGGGGCTGGTCAGGGATAGTAAAGCATCTGTCTCTGAAATTGATGATCATTTTTTTGTCCCTTACCCATAATGCCAGAGTGTGAAAATGGTAATAGGCGAGGAGAAATTGCTTTGCGTTTGGCATTTGGTGCAAATGTTAAAACGCTCCTATCCGCACCACCTCTGTCAGATAACCTAATGCTAATTTTAAAATGATAATTGATCAATTACAGCTTCTCAATCGCCGCTGAAGACATTACGTGTTGTGTGTCCATGTGTGACGTACTTTATCTGCATGCTGCACACACAAATATTAAAGAGGTGTGTAACAGGAACGTTTCATCTAAGTGTGGTCTGAAATCAGTTTGTGTGCGCCGAACTGCCTCCTGCCAACTGACACCATATCATGCTTTCTGGTAGAAAAAACAAGAAAAGGAAAAAAAGAAGAAAATTCTGGGGACCATTCTTGGTTTCTGTCTTGCCTCAGTGGTTGCTTGTTGACACTTCGGCTGATAATTGCACCCAGTTTATTATTTGTTCTTCGTTTACAGCCACGGGGCGGCACCTGATGCTTGGACTGAATTCCGCAGTTTTCCGGACCTCAGCGTTTTCCTTCCTTCCAGATGCCGCCAGTTGGAAACGTGGAGACTTCCTTAAAATGCCGGCGGCTGGATATCCAGGCGTAACAGGAACTCTTACCCAAACAGCGTTTTAAAATGCCTAGATTAAGGCTTCTAAAACGACGAAGTCCTCACAGAGAACAGACATTCTGATCGCTAAAACTTATCCGTCATGAGAAGGTAGTGGTCTCACGCTGCCTGTGAGGAAAGCAGCTATTTATAAGGGCTGATTGGCATCGTTCATCCCACCTACAGTTGTACTTCTGGAGGAATGTAAGGCCAGACTATGCAGAGCTAACATTATATAATAAAATATTCCCTCAGGCTGAGTGAATACAGCTGTTTTATTATTATTCTAGAATGGTACTTCGCCTAGGGTGTAGCCAATGATCAACAAAGAAGAACACGGTTAGGTTTCAAAAGAAGCTTCGGGGTGAGTTAAGTTTCTTTAGAGTCTAGCTGCAGGCCCACAGGCCTGGCCCAGAGAGCCGGACGTGGCGGGGAGAACTCAACCTGTGACAGATACTCCTGCGTATGGACAGAGAAGGAGGTATCATCTTTACTTCAAGGGTTCATTGCCGGGAGGAGGAAACGAAGACGGACCAATTCCTGACTCTTCTTCTGGGATCAGAGCCTGGGCGAGAGGGCGACGTGAGGAACACGTGAACGGGCAAGCAGAGGGCACCACATGTATGTCACAGACACCCGGGAAGACGTCGACAGCCGGGCTGTCACGCACACACCCAGCACGGGGGAAGACGGAGAACTGGAGTGGATCCATTAAGCCATTAGCACCACGCTCTCTGCCACTGAGAATTTACCCCTCAGAAAGTACATTTCCTCTGCCGACATGAGCAGGGTCGTAGGCATTGTGCAGCCAACAATGGCATTTAACACGGGCGTTTCTGCTCGCGCCGGAAGCATAGAAACGCTCTGGGTCTAAGCTGGGACCTACGATTCACTGCGTCGCTCCTTTGTTAGCATGCTGCGCAGGACGGCTCCCGGGGGGGGGGGGTCCGCTGAGGGCCCCAGCTCTCTTTCATAGATTGATTTCTTCTGGGGGATCAGGGGCCTTTTTTGATGGGCTGGGGGGGGGGGTTCCTCTGCCAGTCAAA